ATGATAAAGGAACAGTTTGACATCACTGACTCCAGAGACCTCTGTCACACAAAACAAGTCACTGCAGAGCAATACCTCAGTGCATTTCAGCCATCTGAAGTCTCTGTGTCAGGAAAAGGGCCTACCTGCCACCGCGGGCAGCTCACTGCACTCATCTAGGAGCGCAGATGTGAGCACACCTGCCAGCAGTTACCCGTAATTGATGCAAGGCAACTCATCTCTTTGTTGTATGACTTAACAGACTTTCAAGAGTTCACAGGTGTTTGGCCCTCAGGGTTGATATTTTAAAATCTCCACGCTAGCTCTGAATTCAGTTATGTATAACTTAAAGTTACTGGGTCAGTAACTTAGTAATACCTCTGTTTGCTTAAGACTACGGTAAACATGTAGCGCTTCAAATTCAAGCAAACTATTTTGGTATCAGTACACTCTAAAGCCTTTTGCTATTTTGTTAAAGAATCTCTTATCTTCTTCTAAATAGACTGCATCAGCACAACGTCACTGGTGTTATCTTAAACTATCGCAGCAGGAAGCTCAAAATTAACAAGCCTCCTGACAGCCCCAACAACCAAATTTTGGCTAAATAGTACGTATTAGACCAGCTATAGGCAATGCAAACTCAGATGACAGAATATTGTTACTATTTAAATGCTAAGTTCTGACTTCTCTGAACTTTGGGAAAAGCGTTTCAACTTCTTCAGCTCAAGCTTAAAAAAAAAAAGTATACTTTCAGCTTTTTTCCCAATTTACAAACACAGAGATGGGGCTTTCTCTCTCTGAAATAAAGTGACCTTTGATTTGTTTTTTAAATACCAAGACACTTTTCACTAGAAATACTTGTTTACTTGGTGTGAGGAACACCCAGAAATACGAGAATAAAAGTAACGCACCAGCACCTGCGGGTTTGAGAGGAAAAAAAACCCAAAACATGACGTCAGATGCACAGACGCTCAGACTGCTGGCTTAAAAGTTTACTGCAAGATTCTGCCATGTGAGCCACGAAAGCACAGCAGCGCGGCCCCGGAATTTCGCATACAGGGTTCAGGGCCTGCTTATAAACTCGCTGGTGGGATCCCAGCGGCGGGAACCGCC